ATCTCTCTGGACCAAGGCTTATATAGCCAAGGTCACCTGGCATTTAGTAAGTAAAAAATATAATGTAAACAGTAATTCATCAGTGACATACTTGCTCATCTTGTTCAGGATGGCAGACAGTCGATGTACACAAATATGGGGATTAACAATTAGGATTAGCATCTTATAAATAATAGCAATTAAGTGTTTCAAGGCATATAGATGTCATGGCTCCAGGGTAATGAGCCTTTGCAATCAAATGTTCTTCAGACATGGGTGTCGTAAATCAGTCGCTATGACAATATTAACTTTGTCAGATCACAAGATGAGATAAATTCATGCTATCATCGTTATTTGACAAGGAAAACAAATTTGTTCTATGTATTTATATTTTTTTATATTTCTCGTTTTGACTGAATTATAGAAATTATCAAAATGATCACACCACTTGACTTGATTGAAATAAACTAAAGTTCTAAAGATTGTTAACAATAGTAAAATATTACATCATAACAATATAATTATTGAAAAATGACACAGTAAGCACAACTATATTCTTACATATTTCACAATTAAACAAAGGGAATAAATGAGCTATGATTGCAATACGCATGGGAAGTAAAATAATTCTGTTTATACTTTAAGGTTATAGTAATGTCAATATCAATTTATGCATTTGAAATATTTGAATACAAACTGTTAAAGAGTTATCTGTTTCTGTAAATTATATAAAAATCACATGTAGATTGAACATTTACTGGCCATTAATTAGTATGGTTTTTGTTCATTTCATTACATGATTAATTTGGTACAGTAAAGTAAATATTGGTAGAAATATTGTTTACAAAATTGCAGATCAAACTGTACTTTTCTTCAAATATTTACACACCCTTTATGTAATAATTCAGTGGAAATATTACACCTCATGCTATCAACATGCTGTCAACATTGACAATCAAAATAACAACTGTTCACAATCACAACAGCACAATTAGATCTAGAGGTCTAATATTTTATTGGAATGCATTTGAGTCCATTGCAATTTACATCAAATACGCAACTGATGCAAAATTCTGATTTGTTACGATTGTAAATTCTCAGTAGGTTACAATTTGATACATTATACCAACATATCGATGTAGTTAGTTTCTGACATATATCTAGATATGGTCAAAATGTCAATATTTCGACTTCAAATACAACCCGCAAAGTTATTTAAACTCACAATAAAACGTTTGGCTTAATGGTGTGTAAACAATGAATTATTCTTTACAAGATCTTACTAGCATTTGTATTAAGTCTGTTCAGCTACCATAAACTGCACTAGGAGTTGCCAGGTGGTCATGGATATTTTAAATTGAAATCACAACAGAACGGCCGGACTCAAATTTATATCGGTAAGGAGACCAGATAACAGTCGAATAGTTTGTCAATGATAAGAAATAAGAATAATGTTCAATACTTACGATAAATGTACCGGGATGGTTAAATTGTTTGTCCCGATTGCGTGCCTTGTTGACATCTCCATGTGTTTCATGTGCTATCCAACCTTCACCTTCTGCTCTCCAAGCCTCGCTTTCAAACCTGAAGTAGCGAAGTGTGAAAAAGATCAATTGAAGGCAACTGTGCCGACAATGAACTTGTAGTGTGTCTGACAATTTTTTGGTGACATTTCGGACAACTTTTGAAAATGAAATTTTTTACCCCACCATTGTTTACCTTGAGCTTACCTGTGATTGCACAATTTCATTCAAACTGTGGTTGATCAATCATTTGTTACCCCTCCCTAGATTATATTATAATTCACAACAAAACTTCTTGTTATTTTTTTATCGATCATGGACTTCGACCTATACTTCCTTTTGCCGCCCAGTTTAGTATGAGTGAGTGAGTGAGTGAGTGAGTGAGAGAGTGATGTTTTACGCCGCTTGTACCAATAATCACGGCGGGGGACACAAGAAATGGCCTTCACACATTGTACCCATGTCGGGAATCGAACCCGGGTGTTCGGCGTGACGAGCAAACGCTTTAACCACTAGGCTACCCAACCGCCCCCTTACTAGCATCACACGAACATAACCTAATGCAACCAAAATTGATTTGGTATATATTCCACCTCACTCTTTTCGCTGTTGTCGTAACACCGTATCTGGCAGTTAACTTTATTAAAACAGGACATTTTGGAGAGTATACACCTATGTTTGATGGGGGCTAGAAATGTAAGAAGCATGCAATAGTTATTCAATAGTGAGGGATTTGATACGGACATTATAGCTTCTTACCCGGATTGTATACAACCACGTGGATACCTCAATGGTGATGTTTATCGCCAGCAAAATGGATATTTCTTGAAAAGCGCACTTTGCCATTTTTTCTTTGCTATAATTTATATTCCTTAACGCCGAAATGGCTGGTTTTCACTTTACAAGTAATTGCACAGAGGCAGCTATCTTCATAATTAATCCTTCAAGTTGCACTATTTCGTGATTCTATTTCAAGTGGCCAGGACCACATTGACGGTTTGATAACGTTTCTAATATTTCGGTCCAATCCAGTTTTCAAGTGTTTAGTTTCTTTTGGCCGGCATTTTGCTTTAGTCCGTCTAAGGGTAAAGGTATACATACCACAGAGGTGGCCAATGGTTACAGCGTTCGGTCGTTCGGCGTGCGATTCCCAAGATGAAATACATAATGTATACATGGTTCTGGAAGATTTAGGACAATATTCACTTCACCCTCCATATTCTAACTAACCGGGGGCACGGGTGGCCAGCATAACCAGCGAACAGCCAGCAAGAACAACGAGGCACAAGACACAACACGTGTTAAGATACTAGGAACTTTATTAAAGAATAACCCTAAAAAAAGAGGGGGGCACGGGTGGCCCAGTCGTCTAAGGCGCCGCGATTCGTTGTGCAGAGTTGCGTCCCTTGGGCACGCCAGAAACCTATGATTGTGGTTTCGAATCTCGGTTCGCCCCGTTTATGTTTCTAGGTTAGTCAGCACCATACCCGTGCTCGTGGGTTTCGCCGAAGTGGTAAACGTCTGAGACCTGCATCACTTCGTGCTTTCCTCCCACATTAAGCTGACACGCCGTGATATAACTGGAATGCTGTTAAAAGCGGCGTTAAACCCAACTCACTCACTCACTATAACTAAACAAAGGGGAGAGAGTTTACATTTAACGACGTGTAATGTTATTTCAGGCTCTTTACCACTTCTGCTTTGCTTACATTAGCAACCACACGTCTTCCCGAATAAGTCAAATGTACTCTCTGTCATTCCGGGTACGTATGTTTGTTCCTCTATCTATGAGATGCAATTCAAATATAAGACTCCTGTATGCGCAAGATATCGTGGGCCTCATACGGTTGGTGATTGTGATGCCGAGGGGTTTTCAAAATGTTGACATTGTGGAGGTAATCACAGTGCCGCTTTTAAAGGCTGTCAAAGAATAAAAAAGCAGTATCTGTTCAAAGAGTCAGAGTAGAAAAGAAGGGTTCTGACGCTGAAACTGATAGATTTGTCCAGGTCAGTCCTTCACAGTAAACAAGGCACAGGCTAGGCATATGTTCACACAAGTACACCGAAACCACCCTTTGCACAAAATGCTGTCCCTCATTGTTCCTGTACACGGGTCAAATGTAGTGTGAGTTGGGTTTAACGCCGCTTTTAACAGTATTCCAGTTATATCACGGCGTGTCAGCTTAATGTGGGAGGAAAGCCCGAAGTGATGCAGATCTCAGACGTTTACCACTTCGGTAAAACCCACGAGCACGGGCATGGTGTGACAAACCTAGAAACATAATCGGGGCGAACCGGGATTCGAACCCACAATTATAGGTTTCTGGCGTGCCCAAGGGATGCAACTCTGCACAGCGAATTGCGGCGCCTTAGACGACTGGGACACCCGTGCCCCCGGGTCAAGTGTAGATAAAACTCACTAAACAAACAGTACCTACTGAAACTATTCCTTTGGCTCCAACTTCTAGTCTCCAAGTCATTGTCGGTTGTTTTAACACAACTAGCAGAGAAAAGCAAATTCATCGAAAGGCACCCATTGCAAAAACATTATTTCTTAATGCGTCAAAAGCATCTTGAATAATTTACACGTTGATAAAGAATAATGGATGACGGTCCCTGATTGCACTGGAACGATCAAAGTCTTGTTGCCCATGGAGATAACCTTAAACACTTTTTATCAAGCATTTCACAAGTGCCAGATATAATTTTTGCGTCCTGGAAACGTTTCAGTGGCCTGAAGGTAATTTCAAAATTAATTTTAATACCAGTTTGCGTAAGGAGAGAATAACTAGCAATTCTAGTGTAAAAGATCCCCGTAGAGGAGGTAACGCTATTTTTCGTAAATCTTATGTAAAGAACACATACTAGTATTACCAAGAACAGTTTTTGAAGCTTATACGGTAGAAATATATTATCGTGATAAAATGTATTAATGTTATCATAGTCATTAATTATAAACAACACTGGAAAACCAAGAGTGAATGATTATATGGAAATTGCTGAGACATCTGATGGCCCATACTTCATTTGTGGTAATTTCAACAGTCATAATGATTTGTTTGCTTGTTGTTTAACGCCGCACGCAGCAATATGCCAGCGATATGACGGCGGTCTGTAAATAATCGAGTCTGGACCAGACAATCTAGTGATTGAGACCATTAGCATCGATCCACGCAATTGGGATCGATGACATGCATCAACCAAGTCAGCGAGCCTGACTACCCGATCCCGTTAGTCGCCTCTTACTGAATTGTGGGGCAATGATCAGATTTCAACGGAACAATCGTTATGGCGTTTTTGGATGAGGCTGATATAGTAATCATTAATAACGGACCCCTCCGCTCCCAGAATATAGAATAGTACATTAACCCCTTAACATTTCATTTGCATCGTTGTACAGCCTTTTTAACAACTGTCATTATGAAGTAAAGTTATAGGCACATATCATTACAATTTGTAATGATTAAAAAAAAAATAATGCTTGTTGTCTTTCCACAGCTACACAACTAACATCCAGACCTTGTGTCGACGTATTGAACGGCTAGGAAACGTTGAAGATGGGGGTTGGGACGTGTGCATCGACAGCAGATTTCGTCCCCGCAAACCGTGTATCGTGTTTTCTGTTGGGTAAGCTAGAATTATGAAAAACGAATGGTAGTGTGTGTTGCAATTTGATTGGCTGTAAGGACGAGATTTCTTACTGCGTAGGCGTACATTTCTTGACAACTACGTGTATCTTCTCATTCTTAATCCGACCCGTGAATATCCGGGGTAGAGTAGGTCTTCAGGAACCCATGCGTGCCGTAAAAGGCGACTATGCTTGTCGTAAGAGACGACTAACGGGATCGGGTGGTCAGGCTCGCTGTCTTGGGTGATGCATGTCATCGTATCCAAATTGCGTTGATCAATGCTCATGATATTTATCACTGGATTGTTAGATCCAGACTCGATTATTTACAGACCGCCGTGATATGGCTGTAATATTGCTGAGTGCGGCGTTAAACAACAAACAAAATCATTCTTAATCCCAAATTTGAGCTCAGTCACGGTGGCACTGACGAAATGTATAGCATCATAGTATTCCCGTCATGTCTGCCTCATATCTGTCAGAATCCGTGAAGATCTGGGTAAGAATTGATCTTCAGAAACCCATGCTTGCCGTAAGAGGCGACTATGCTTGCCTTAAGACGCGACTAAAAAGATCGGGTGGTCAGGCTCGCTGACTTGGTTGATGCCTGTCAACATATCTCAATTGTGTAGATCGATTCTCATGGTGTCAATCAATGGATTGTGTGGTCCAGTATCAATTGTTTACAGACCGCCGTTATATAACTGGAATACTGCTGAGTGCCTTGTTCAACAACAAACAAACAAAACTGTCTTGTAATGTTATATGCTCACCATACCATGGTGGCCATCATCATGACCTATATCTTGGCTCTGTATAGCTATTATCTAGTCACTTTGTAAGTGCTTCATGACATGTATATCCCGGTTTCAGAATCAACAACGATTTCACATTCGACGACGCCGTTAACGCCAAGTACACCTGTGAAGTACACTCTTATGATCCAAGGTATAATGTCTCACAAGTACACCTGTAAAGTACACTCTTATGATCCAAGGTATAACGTCTCACAAGTACACCTGTGGAGTACACTCTTATGATCCAAGGTATAATGTCTCACAAGTACACCTGTGAAGTACACTCTTATGATCCAAGGTATAATGTCTCACAAGTACACCTGTGAAGTACACTCTAATGATCCAAGGTAATGTGTCACAAGTAAACCTGTGGAGTACATTCTTATAACCCAAGGTAGTGTCTCACAAGTACACCTGTGGAGTACATTCTTATAACCCAAGGTAGTGTCTCACAAATACACTTACGAAGTACACTCTTTTGACCCAAGTAGTGTCTCACAAGTACACTTACGAAGTACACTCTTATGACCCAAGGTAGTGTCTCACAAGTACACCTGTGGAGTACATTCTAATAACCCAAGGTAGTGTCTCACAAATACACTTACGAAGTACACTCTTTTGACCCAAGTAGTGTCTCACAAGTACACTTACGAAGTACACTCTTATGACCCAAGGTAGTGTCTCACAAGTACACCTGTGGAGTACATTCTTATAACCCAAGGTAGTGTCTCACAAATACACTTACGAAGTACACTCTTATGACCCAAGGTAGTGTCTCACAAGTACACCTGTAAAGTACACTCTTATGATCCAAGGTATAATGTCTCACAAGTACACCTGTGAAGTACACTCTTATGATCCAAGGTAATGTGTCACAAGTAAACCTGTGGAGTACATTCTTATAACCCAAGGTAGTGTCTCACAAATACACTTCCGAAGTACACTCTTATGACCCAAGGTAGTGTCTCACAAGTACACCTGTGGAGTACATTCTTATAACCCAAGGTAGTGTCTCACAAATACACTTACGAAGTACACTCTTTTGACCCAAGTAGTGTCTCACAAGTACACTTACGAAGTACACTCTTATGACCCAAGGTAGTGTCTCACAAGTACACCTGTGGAGTACATTCTTATAACCCAAGGTAGTGTCTCACAAATACACTTACGAAGTACACTCTTATGACCCAAGGTAGTGTCTCACAAGTACACCTGTGGAGTACACTCTTATGACCCAAGGTAGTGTCTCACAAGTACACCTGTGGGGTACATTCTTATAACCCAAGGTAGTGTCTCACAAGTACACTTACGAAGTACACTCTTATGACCAAAGGTAGTGTCTCACAAGTACACCTGTGGAGTACACTCTTATGACCCAAGGTAGTGTCTCACAAGTACACCTGTGGGGTACATTCTTATAACCCAAGGTAGTGTCTCACAAGTACACTTACGAAGTACACTCTTATGACCAAAGGTAGTGTCTCACAAGTACACCTGTGGAGTACACTCTTATGACCCAAGGTAGTGTCTCACAAGTACACCTGTGGAGTACACTCTTATGACCCAAGTAGTGTCTCACAAGTACACTTACGAAGTACACTCTTATGACCCAAGGTAGTGTCTCACAAGTACACCTGTGGAGTACATTCTTATAACCCAAGGTAGTGTCTCACAAATACACTTACGAAGTACACTCTTATGACCCAAGGTAGTGTCTCACAAGTACACTTACGAAGTACACTCTTATGACCCAAGGTAATGTCTCACAAGTACACCTGTGGAGTACATTCTTATAACCCAAGGTAGTGTCTCACAAATACACTTACGAAGTACACTCTTATGACCCAAGTTAGTGTCTCACAAGTACACCTGTGGAGTACATTCTTATGACCCAAGGTAGTGTCTCACAAGTACACCTGTGGAGTACACTCTTATGACCAAAGGTAGTGTCTCACAAGTACACTTACGAAGTACACTCTTATGACCAAAGGTAGGGCTCACAAGTACACCTGTGAAGTACACTCTTATGACCAAAGGTAGTGTCTCACAAGTACACCTGTGGAGTACACTCTTATGACCAAAGGTAGTGTCTCACAAGTACACTTACGAAGTACACTCTTATGACCAAAGGTAGTGTCTCACAAGTACACCTGTGGAGTACACTCTTATGACCCAAGGTAGTGTCTCACAAGTACACCTGTGGGGTACATTCTTATAACCCAAGGTAGTGTCTCACAAGTACACTTACGAAGTACACTCTTATGACCAAAGGTAGTGTCTCACAAGTACACCTGTGGAGTACACTCTTATGACCCAAGGTAGTGTCTCACAAGTACACCTGTGGAGTACATTCTTATGACCAAAGGTAGTGTCTCACAAGTACACCTGTGGAGTACACTCTTATGACCCAAGTAGTGTCTCACAAGTACACTTACGAAGTACACTCTTATGACCCAAGGTAGTGTCTCACAAGTACACCTGTGGAGTACATTCTTATAACCCAAGGTAGTGTCTCACAAATACACTTACGAGGTACACTCTTATGACCCAAGGTAGTGTCTCACAAGTACACTTACGAAGTACACTCTTATGACCCAAGGTAATGTCTCACAAGTACACCTGTGGAGTACATTCTTATAACCCAAGGTAGTGTCTCACAAATACACTTACGAAGTACACTCTTATGACCCAAGTTAGTGTCTCACAAGTACACCTGTGGAGTACATTCTTATGACCCAAGGTAGTGTCTCACAAGTACACCTGTGGAGTACACTCTTATTACCAAAGGTAGTGTCTCACAAGTACACTTACGAAGTACACTCTTATGACCAAAGGTAGTGTCTCACAAGTACACCTGTGAAGTACACTCTTATGACCCAAGGTAGTGTCTCACAAGTACACCTGTGGAGTACGCTCTTGTGACCCAAGGTAGTGTCTCACAAGTACACTTACGAAGTACACTCTTATGACCCAAGGTAGTGTCTCACAAGTACACCTGTGGAGTACACTCTTATGACCCAAGGTAGTGTCTCACAAGTACACCTGTGGCGTACATTCTTATTACCCAAGGTAGTGTCTCACAAATACACTTACGAAGTACACTCTTTTGACACAAGTAGTGTCTCACAAGTACTCTTACGAAGTACACTCTTATGACCCAAGGTAGTGTCTCACAAGTACACCTGTGGAGTACACTCTTATGACCCAAGGTAGTGTCTCACAAGTACACTTACGAAGTACACTCTTATGACCCAAGGTAGTGTCTCACAAGTACACTTACGAAGTACACTCTTATGACCCAAGGTAGTGTCTCACAAGTACACCTGTGGAGTACCCTCTTATAACCCAAGGTAGTGTCTCACAAATACACTTACGAAGTACACTCTTTTGACCCAAGTAGTGTCTCACAAGTACACTTACGAAGTACACTCTTATGACCCAAGGTAGTGTCTCACAAGTACACCTGTGGAGTACACTCTTATGACCCAAGGTAGTGTCTCACAAGTACACTTACGAAGTACACTCTTATGACCAAAGGTAGTGTCTCACAAGTACACCTGTGGAGTACATTCTTATAACCCAAGGTAGTGTCTCACAAATACACTTACGAAGTACACTCTTTTGACCCAAGTAGTGTCTCACAAGTACACTTACGAAGTACACTCTTATGACCCAAGGTAGTGTCTCACAAGTACACCTGTGGAGTACCCTCTTATAACCCAACGCCAGTGTGGTTGGCGACCGTTGTTTATGTTTAGCGGCAGACTGCCTAGGTAGTGGGAGAGTTACATCCCTTGGCTTGTGTCGTCTTCTCCTCACATGTTGTTTGACCATTACTGAGAAGTAAAGCTACAAGTATATTGGAATACCTGTGTTGGGTTGTGAATTGCGAGGGTCCAAGCTGGCGTGGTGGCAGCGGAGACGATCATCCGCATCTCTGAACACGGCACTTAACCTGACTTTCGCAGTTACTACACGAATAAGTGTGCAATCTACCTGGTCGACATCGCCACGATAGCGCGGGTATTTCAAGTAGGCCTACTAGCATAACATCATGGCAAACACTCACAGAGCACCGAAACAGTGGTCTCTCACGAAACATGAAACTGTTAATTCGTTTGAGAATTGGAAACAAAACCTACTATATACGTTATCACTGGACACGAATTTTGCAACATTTCTTGCTGACGGCGCCACGTGGGGAAAACGTACACGTGCAACCCCGTTACGAGGATTTGAAAATGATGGGGAAGACGTTGCTGGAGCTCAACGCAAGACGGCAGCGCAAAAGGTAACATCACTCGAGTTAATGTTGGGCCAAATCGCCAATTATTGTCCTGTAATTGCCAGGAACACCATTGTGAAAAGTTCAGTATCGATTTCAAGTATCTGGCAGACTATCAGACTACACTACGGCTTCCAGTCATCTGGTGCACATTTTCTTGATTTGTGTGACATACATCTCCAACCTGAGGAGCGACCAGAGGATCTTTACCAGCGCCTGTCTGCATTTATGGAAGATAATCTGCTCAGACAAAATGGCGGAATCACTCATCATGGAGAGGCGATTGGCGAGGATGAGGAATTAACACCTACGTTAGAGAACATTATTATCCTGACTTGGTTGCGCCTTATCCATCCTGATTTGCCCAAGCTGGTGAAGCAACGATATGGAACGGAACTGAGATCCCGTACTCTAGCGTCAATTAAACCTGAGATATCACAGGCACTCAATTCCCTGTTAGATGAAATACATTCATTTGAGGATGCCAAGGTCATGAGGACTGCTACCACTAGAGCAAACAACTTCAGTCAAAGATCTAATTTTAGACCTCGCATACAGCAGACATCCAATAAACGTCGTTACCAGTCAACCTCAAAAATGTGTCCCCTCTGTCACACAGCTGGTCGTCCTAATGACAATCACTTTCTCAGTGAATGTTCATACTTACCTGATCAAGACAGAAAATACATGGCTAAGGCACGTCAAATAGCTAGCATCCTGGATGAGTCAGAGGATGAAGATGGACAGTCCCCTCATACAGACACAGTATCTACACCTCCCGTTACTGCCTCAAGTGTAAACAATGCTTCAGTCAATAGAGTCAGTGTACGTCAGTCTCCATATATGAACGCATTTTATGGTCATAATGTCATATGTCTTACCCTCGACAGTGGAGCTACAGGTAATATGATCAGTCAGACTACTGCCAGGAGACTCGGCATTGAAGTCACCAAATGTTCACAATCTGCCCATCAGGCTGATGGTTCATCCCCACTCCATATTGTTGGTGAAACACGAGTAACTCTCAGCCGTGACAATAAGGATTTTATTTTCGAGGGCCTTGTTGTGGATAACCTTGATGTTGAGTTGCTTGCAGGAACACCGTTCATGGAAATAAATGATGTTGCCGTTCGCCCAGCTAAGCGCCAAATTACACTTGGAGATGGAACCACCTTCCAGTACGGCAACCAAGAAACCCACTCGTCACACCATACAGTAAGACGTGCACATGTCTTACGAGCGCCTAAGTCCCCTACAACAATCTGGCCTGGGGATTTCATAGAGTTATCACTCCCGGATGACCTGATCCACTCAGATGACACATTCGCAGTGGAACCACGTCTAACAGGTGATTTCTTCAAAGACCACAAAGAATGGCCAACACCAGATATAGTGTCCAGCGTTTCAGGGAAGATTAGAATTCCTAATGACACCAAAGAGCCTCTTGTCCTCAAGAAGCATGAGCACTTTTGCCAGGTTCAACAAGTATTCACCATCCCAAACTCTGGGACCGAGATGGTCGATAGTCAATCAGAAAGCATTCCTCTCAGACAGTCCACTACTACATGCAAGGTCAATTGTTCAGAACAGGTACGCATTGACCCAGATAACCAGTTCACACCAGACACTCGCAACAGTTTCCACGCCCTCATAAAGGAGTATGATGATGTGTTTAATCCACATGTCCAGGGATATAATGGAAAATCTGGCCCGTTCAAGGCAGTTGTCAACATGGGTCCTGTCCAACCCCCTCAACGCAAGGGACGAGTCCAACAATACTCACGTGACAAACTTGTAGAGTTGCAAGACAAATTCGATGAGCTTGAGGACATTGGTGTCTTCGTCAAGCCTGAAGATGTGGGGATATCAGTGGAATATTTAAATCCATCCTTCCTTGTCAAGAAGTCAAATGGTGGATTTCGTCTGGTTACAGCATTCACAGATGTGGGGCGGTATAGTAAACCACAACCATCACTCATGCCTGATGTTGATTCTACATTACGCCAGATAACTGCATGGAAGTACATCATAACCACAGATTTGACAAATGCTTTTTACCAAATACCCCTGTCACGTGGATCAATGAAATATTGTGGTGTGGCCACTCCCTTCCGTGGAGTCCGTGTTTATGCCCGATCAGCCATGGGCATGCCGGGCTCTGAAACTGCGTTAGAAGAGTTGATGTGTCGTGTGCTTGGGCACTTGCTCAAGGAAGGATCAGTGGCCAAGTTGGCAGATGACTTATATTGTGGAGGTAATACCGTAGACGAGCTTCTGAACAACTGGCGACGTGTTCTACAGGCCTTGCAATTCAATGGACTAAAGCTTTCAGCTGCCAACACTACTGTCGGCCCTTCTAGTGTGACCATCTCAGGATGGATTTGGAAAAATGGCTCAATTCAAGCAAGTCCTCACAGAATTTCCACCCTCTCTAGTTGCACCCGTCCATCTACAGTCAAGGGTTTGAGGTCGTTTATTGGAGCCTACAAAGTGTTAGCCCGGGTAATACCAGGTTGTGCTGGACTATTGGGTCCATTGGACACTCTTCAAGCTGGACGTCCTTCAGCAGAGAGAATAGTTTGGTCAGAGGTACTTATCTGTGCCTTTGGGAATGCTCAATCTGCACTATCCTCACATAAAACCATTGTTCTTCCTCGGAGGGATGACCAGCTATGGATCGTTACAGATGGAGCAGTGAAAAACCATGGCATAGGTGCTACTCTCTACATTACAAGGAACAACAGTACTCTCCTCGCTGGTTTCTTCAGTGCCAAACTGCGCCAGCGTCAAATGACATGGCTACCGTGTGAAATAGAAGCACTATCTATAGCTGTTGCCACCAAGCACTTTAGTCCTTACCTTGTACAGTCAAGCCTACAAGCATGTATCCTGACTGACAGTAAACCATGTGTTCAAGCATATGAAAAGTTGTGTCGTGGAGAGTTTTCAGCAAGCCCCAGAGTGTCTACCTTTTTGTCGACAGTGAGTAGATACCAGGCCTCTGTTCGCCATCTCAGTGGTTCTGCAAATATTCCATCTGATTTTGCCAGTAGAAATGCATCCAAGTGTGACGAGCCCCTGTGTCAGATTTGTTCATTCATTCGTCAAACTGAGGACTGTACGGTACGTGGTACTTCTGTTCAGGACATCATGTCAGGGAAATCTAAACTGCCATACACCAACAGGAATGCATGGCTCGCCATCCAGTCAGAGTGTTCTGATCTCAGACGCACACATGCTCATCTCATACAGGGCACTCGCCCATCCAAGAAACAAACTGATGTTAAAGACGTAAAACGTTATCTACAGTCTGTGACCATCGCCAAAGATGGTGTGTTGGTGATTCAAAGAAATGAGCCCCTTGTTACCATCAGAGAGTGCATCGTCATTCCACGACAAGTCTTGGATGGATTACTGACTGCAATGCACATCCAGTTAAATCATCCTTCTGCCCACCAGTTGAAACTCGTTGTGAACCGCTACTTCTATGCTTTGGACATGGATCAAGCAATAACTAAAGTTTCAAGCGGATGTTATCACTGTACATCTCTTCAACAGGTTCCCCACACAGTTGTGGCTCAGTCATCTACTGATCCCCCAGAGATCATTGGAGCCGCGTTTGCTGCAGATGTAATAAAAAGAGAACGACAACTCATACTTGTGTTGAGAGAATGTGTCACATCTTTCACCTGTACATGTGCCATTGAAAATGAGCAAAAGGGAACCCTACGTGAGGCTTTGATTCGCCTAAGTGTTGAGATGAGACCATTAGATGGACCCCCGGCGGTCATCAGAACTGACCCGGCTCCAGGGTTTAAGGCCTTAGTTCAAGATGACCTTCTCCGAAGTCAACGTCTTTGCATTGAAATTGGTCGAATAAAGAACAAGAACAAGAATCCCGTAGCCGAGCGAGCTATTCAAGAGCTGGAGCTGGAATTGTTAAAAATTGATCCTTTGGGGGGGGGTCGGTCACACCTATAACCCTAGCTATAGCCACTGCTCAACTAAATTCTCGCATCAGATCCAGAGGGTTATCCGCCAGGGAAATGTGGACACAAAGAGATCAATTTAACAACCACCAAATACCCGTTGGAGACAGAAAATTGATCCTTGACCAACATCACCTGCGAACTACCAATCACCTACACAGTGAGATGTCTAAAGCCCATATCCCTAGCCTGCCCACCCCTAACATCAGCATTGGTGACCTGGTATATCTACATGCAGATCGTAATAAATCACGGTCACGAGATCGATACCTTGTGGTTGTTAACGATGGTGAATGGTGCAACATTCAGAAGTTTGTGGGTTCCCAACTTCGAAGCACATCATATAGAGTAAAAAAATCAGAGTGCTTCAGAGTTCCATGTCAACGTGGACGGTCAAGTGGACTTCCTCAGCATTATGTGAGCGATGAGTCTTCTGATGGTGAGATAGATACTGTTCCCCAAAGGACTGAACCACCTACCCTTCCCATCGTTCCCCCAGTGCTAAATGAACCATACCATGACCAAGACATTTTAGTCAACCCACCAGACCATCCTCCTCTTGATAATCAGGACTCCTTGCGTGAAAATGTTAGTGACAATGACATTGTGAATACAGATGACACTGATGATACCGTGTATTCAACTCCAGTCTGTGCACAAAGGAGGTCAATCCGTGCACGGCGACCACCTCAACACCTCAATGACTATGTAACCGATTTCTAACATGTTTATGTTGCTATGTCCATCAACTGTGTCTGGATACCTTTTCGCATTTAGGCTATAGTTATGGTGTCGTGTCAGCTTATATCACGTGATGTCAAGGATATCTACATCAGGTTTTAAGTTTTATTGTGACCAGTTATTTTGGGTATTGTTTATGACAGTATGAGTCTTTAATAGTAACCCATATCAGGTAATGTGTTACAAAGAAAAAAGGAGGTTGCGCCAGTGTGGTTGGCGACCGTTGTTTATGTTTAGCGGCAGACTGCCTAGGTAGTGGGAGAGTTACATCCCTTGGCTTGTGTCGTCTTCTCCTCACATGTTGTTTGACCATTACTGAGAAGTAAAGCTACAAGTATATTGGAATACCTGTGTTGGGTTGTGAATTGCGAGGGTCCAAGCTGGCGCAAGGTAGTGTCTCACAAATACACTTACGAAGTACACTCTTATGACCCAAGGTAGTGTCTCACAAGTACACCTGTAAAGTACACTCTTATGATCCAAGGTAGTGTCTCACAAGTACACTTACTTTATGACCCAACCAAAAGTATCATGGTACACTCTTGAAGCACAAATTCAGAATATATTTTCATGAGTTGTAAATATTTTTCCAGTATGGGGTTAAAAGATCACTTGCACAAGCCCGATATGCACTTCCATGCAACGGGACTGGCTTCGTACAACGGAAAGACTGCATCTGGCTGGCGCATGCGTACCCTTGGCTTCCTGCGGAACGAGAGTGATTCAGGACTTAAGGTATTGTTACGGTACATGTAGTCCAAATAATGAGCGTGTCCTTATATCCAAGTTGTGCGTCAATGTTCGCTGGACAAATTTTTATTTTAAAATAAATCTTATTATGAAAAAAACTGAGTTGAATTTTCGTCACTCTCTTTTTAATATAAGGTCGAAGAGGTCCTCATTGAACTTTCAAGTAAAAGACAGTAACGAAAGTTATATTTTGCAGAAACATAAGCAGCATATCATTTACATGAATCGAGTCTTGTTTCACTTTTCATGTATCTCATCTGATGTCATTTGATGTGGCTTTCAGAGACGACCAATAGATATTCTCAAGATGGACATTGAAGGCATGGAGTGGGGCGTTATTCCGGAAATGATACGAAGTCGGAGCCATATTGGAATAAAACAGTTGTACATCGAGTTTCACACTCACTTATTCAAGAACGGAAAGTATATCTACGAGACAACACGAGATCAATATTTGACGTACTTGAAAATCCTGCGCCAGTTACATCACGCAGGTTTTAGGATCTTCTGGACACACAAAAACTTTGCTTGTAAATTCGAATCGATCTATGGGCCCCATCGAGTGAGTTGCAATGAGCTGTATTTCGTGCAAATCAACCAAGCATGATGGGACTTGGTGGCATAGAGCCATTGGTATCTGTGTAGCGTGACATGTACTAAGTGTATTACCATGTAGCTAATAAATCTATTTTATATAAGCCTGTGTTATTTAGCTCTGGCGTTGTAAATTCGAGGTGGGGCCTAAAACAATATTGCTCGATACAGCCGCTTTTGAGGACCATTAAACCAACACAGTTCGAGTCATCCGTAGTTCGAGACAAGCGAAGTAATCTGGATAATTCACAGCGTGAAGACATTAAGGCTGTCTGGAGCCAGATCGGTGAATAAGATGGGTGCAGAAGGGTTTAAAAGTCACCCCCGTTGATTGTTGCCATGGCAATGACCGATTTGTGTACTGGCGCATTGTGCTGATGGAAGAGCGACCTTTTTCTCAGCTTACCGCGTCTTCTAGACTTTATTTCATCCCGTAGTTGCCTCAAACGTGCAGCATGATATGTTCCGTTTATTGTCTGGTCTTTTGGAAAATAGTCGACCATGATGGCATCCTCGGCATCCCAGAACACGGAGGTCAGAACCTTTCCAGCTGATGGGCCTTTGCTAGTCATGTCAAATGCTCCAACTGTTTTTGCCCAAGGGACGCAACTCTGCACGGCGAATCGCGACGACGACTGGGCGACCCGTGTCCCCTGGTTGTTGATTTGGTGTAGTCAACCAGCGTACCATCCATAGTCACAACTCGTTGCAAGAACCTCTTTGGGCCACCTTCAAACAGACATAGATTATCATGAGATGTGTTGTGCCTGGCCCGCTTTGATCAGATGTCAGAACCTTTGGAACCCAGCGATCTGATACGTCTTTATTGTCAAAGTTTCTGTGATAATGGAATGGACATGCTTACTGAACTAGCAATACAATGCCCGATTATTTCTGTTTAATAACAAATAATGACTTTGCTGATTAATACCAAGACTTCAATATCTGGCGTGACAGTCTCTGTACTGAATCAAACTTTGTCAACAAAATCATTCTGTCGCTACAAGTATCGCTCAAATGAGCCGTGATGAAGATTCTGAGATGACCATGCTCCCAATGAACATGCTGCTCGTCTGCTATGTGACCTCTTCAGTCTAAAGTGGTCTTCTTAATGACATTTCAAATGGAACACTGAAGACCTATTCTATCTTCACGGGTCTTACCTCAGTGAATATTAGAGCACATGATATGTACCCCCCCCCCCCCCCCTATATTTTTTGAAAATAATAGCTTTTCTTTTTGTTGCATTTTGTATATACATCTCTAGTGTTAATACAATTAATCAGTGAGTTAAAATTTATCGTCGCATCGGCATTATTTCAGCCATATAGCGACTACATTTCAACAATACAGCTTGATTTTATCATGTATATTGAATGGAAAAAATGAATCAATTAAAAAATAAATTAAACGAAGGCCAGACTTTGTGAAAAAATATAGTTTTGAGATAAATTGCAACACACTTTGTAATGATATAATATTGATATAATTCCAGCTGTAGGAACGTTTACATATGTGTCAGAAAGTGACTATCGTTATTCCATACCGGTAGTGATATTCAGTCAGATATTTGATGACTGCTTCGCGAATGTTGTCAACACCGCTATAGCTGTGGAGCCCTTGACCAGTAACGACGCTAAACGCCGTCCCCTAGGATATACAAAAGCATGTGTGGCGACGAAGCTTCAAGGTGGGGATGGATATTACACGCGATGTAGTTTGCTCCTCCATTGTGTGTATCTGATCGGACAGCATTACGTGGGCTCATGCGGTAGACAGGGGCACGGATGGCCCAGTCGCCTAAGTTGCCACGATTCGCTTGGGCACGCCATATACCTATGATTGTGGGTTCGAATCCTGGTTCGCCCCGATTATGTTTCTTAGTTTGTCAGCACCTTACGTGAACTCGTAGGTTTCATCAGAGTGGTAAACGTCTGAGACCTGCATCACTTTAGACTTCCTGCTACAGCTGACTTGCGTGATTAACCTGGCATACTGTTTAAAGCGGCGTTAAACCCAAATCACTCGGACAATCCTGCAGTAAACATATTGAAAGAAGCCTCACAAAACGCTACAACTAAGCCCTACCAAGCCCTTCCGCGGTAGGTATATGCATTTATGAAACTAGAAATAACCCGTATATGTGTTGTATGTTTATGCGATCTGTTCCATGGTCGAAAGCGAATTTTGCTGCTCGAATAGACAGTTTTTCATCAATTGTCACTCAAGCGCCAGAGGTTCGCTTTTGTTTAACTGTTTTGCTGTGTATGTACACGGTGAAGATCCAGGACATACGAAAGGTCCAGACTCGTAGGTAAAAGGCAAATAATGAAAAAAAAATTCACTCAACTTAACTTATTCATCCAATGCCAATCGCATATTTTCTTACTTTACTTCACTGGTCACATGATTTTACACATATATAATTATATATTTGATTAATTTTCATCTGACTAGAATTCTCTTGCAGATATCCCATTTGAAGATACTGAAAGAAGTACATGTAATACAATTGAAAGGGCTGCTATTTCTTGTTCCCGATCCTCCGTCGGGAGCTTCTGAAGCGTCCATAAAATACGTTAAAAACGACGTTCAATGCCTTTTCATCGCTCGAGGATGCTAAAATATAGCAATAACCTTTATACTTTCTTTTTCCTTTTCAAATTTTATTATTATAAATGTAGGATTTCTGTTGCTAAGGAGCAATTAACGCCATAACCGAAATTAAATACCCTTAAATGTGTAGCTTACTCATCTCGAGCCATAGCTGTTTCAATCTTGCAGACTGAGCTTAAAGGATAGGCTCGTATGTTTTGAAGTTCATGAACTGATATACTTTTAGCCAACAGTAAAAGCTTTGCTATAAATTGAGCTACGGTTATGAGACCCTCATCTTATAAGTGTTAGGCGGGGGAGCCTTTTAATACGGGAAATGACATAACCTCAACCGGAAGTACCAGTAACTAACTTATTAGGTAAGTTACAGCCATACAACTTTCCCTTTTGATGTAGTCAGCTTCTGCTTTCCGAAACCACAAATGACATATCAAAGCTATCTTCCCGAGGCAAGATCGTCCACTCGCCTGATCAAAGTCTGGTTTCCATCCTTGCTATGTCAAGCCGAAGGGAGCGACCATTTGGTATTCTAGGGTTGGGGGTTGGGGTCGAGGGGTAGATCGAGATTAGATCATTCTTTCAACCACAGTTACAAAACCATATATTTGTTTATTTACAACTATGACCCTTATATTATAAAAAGAACAATACCTTGCAACAATGTACTTTTTGTGGCAGGCAATTTTTTATTTCAACAGTCTGAAGCATAATAATTTTTTAAAGAATGTTCGGGGTCAATTTATTTTTTTCGATATAAAATCCCAAGGCCCATCAAATAGTCGGTCCCTAGGTGCAAATGAAACTATTAAATAAATATTCTACCATGAATTTGGAAATTACTCGTTTCTGGTTAGTCAATCAGAGGCTATCAATCACAATAAACCCCCTCTGATTGAAACAGCTGCTTTGACGGCTAGTTTTCTTTAGGCGTGCCCACCTCAAGTTAGCCGACCAAGTTGCCGTGCTTATATACTTCCAATGCCTGTCATATGTTCGAGTGACGTATTACCGCCAGAAACTGATTGAGCATATACAGCGTCATATTTTGTTTACAGGCTGTTGTCGGTGATTTCGTAATCCAGATCGACAACCAACTCAAAACACTGGGCTCAACCCATGCCGCTTCACTCAATATATTTGCTAACACCAAAGAGTTCGCGTTTTATTAGTCATAGTAGAATGGAGCTACAAATACTATAGCTGAATGCTACAAGTAGCCTACGCGGAATCTTTGACGACGAGAACTTTGTATACATAGAGAATCTCACCCGAGTGCCTTTTCAAATGTATCGACACGAGTTGGGTGAGATTTTTCAGTTTGTAGACAGTAAAAAGCAGTGTCTTAAGTGTAAAACGTACTTCAAACAGCTTCAGTAGCATAGCCATAAGTGATGTCATTTGATTATGACGTCATGGTAACCAATGACGTCACAATGGTCTGCAAAGCATTGTGATGCAATTTCATTGCAGCGATATCTACAATGTAGATATCGCTTGATCGCACACAAGCGATATCTCCTGTGAGAGCCAGTTTTGGATGATAAATGATCTTTTGACCACTTGATCAAATTGATGTCTTGGCAGAACTCATATTACACTGTTGCACTATTCTTCAATGGAGAAAACAGTGTTGGGAAGCAGGCTGAAATGTCTGTGTTTTTACATGGTTATTCGACCTGTGAAGATCCGGGGTGGATAAGGTCTTCAGCAACCCATGCTTACCGAAAAAGACGACATGGCTTGTCGTAAGAAGCGACTAACGGGATCGGGTGGTCAGGCTCGCTGACTTGGTTGATACATGTCATCGTATCCCAATTGCGTGGATCGATGCTCATGATGTCAATCACTGGTTTGTCTGATCCAGACTCGATTATAAGAGATCGCCGTCAATTAGCTGGAATATTGCCGAGTGCGGCGTTAAACCCACAACATGCAGCTGACACCGTGATATATACTGAATCACTGTAAACAGCGGCGCTTTCACGTGAGCAATATTTCTGTATTCACGATCCCATTGTTTGTCTCACACAACAATGCGCTTTTTTTTGTATAAACCGGTAAAGGCGAATTACTGTCGCACGGTTTCGCGCAAAACGAAAGTAAAACGGATCAATCGAGTTTCTTTGAATCAGCGATCATTACTCACCTTTCTTGGAGTTAGATGAATCAGCTGCTACTTTTACTCTCCTTTCGTGGAATCAGCTCTCACTGGCGTTTCGTTGAATCCTATTATAAGAGTGTTCCTTGCGATACACCCAGCATGTTCAAACAGGACGGCAACGAGGTCAAGCTGACAACACTGTGCTTCGCTTAGTACATGTATTAGGTGTTTCAATCATGTCCGATACATTGCCCTATTTTGTTTTGTAAGATATATGTTCCCTTGTTTTTTAAGCAGAACATTTGCCTTTCCTTTGTATGTGTTTGTGTCGAGAGCCGCTTATGATGCAGGATACGGTGGCCTTTTCGCGAACACCTGGTATCATTA